GACATGGCCAGTACAGTGAGACCAATGACATGGCCAGTACAGTGAGACAAATGACATGGCCAGTACAGTGAGACCAATGACATGGCCAGTACAGTGAGACCAAAGACATGGCCAGTACAGTAAGACATGGCCAGTACAGTGAGACCAATGACATGGCCAGTACAGTGAGACCAATGACATGGCCAGTACAGTGAGACCAATGACATGGCCAGTACAATGAGACCAATGACATGACCAGTACAGTGAGACCAATGACATGGCCAGTACAGTGAGACCAATGACATGGCCAGTACAATGAGACCAATGACATGGCCAGTACAGTGAGACCAATGACATGGCCAGTACAGTGAGACCAATGACATGGCCAGTACAGTGAGACCAATGACATGGCCAGTACAGTGAGACATGGCCGGTACAGTGAGACATTGGCAGTACAGTGAGACCAATGACATGGCCAGTACAGTGAGACCAATGACATGGCCAGTACAGTGAGACATGGCCAGTACAGTGAGACTAATGACATGGCCAGTACAGTGAGACCAATGACATGGCCAGTACAGTGAGACCAATGATATGGCCAGTACAATGAGACCAATGACATGGCCAGTACAATGAGACCAATGACATGGCCAGTACAGTGAGACCAATGACATGGCCAGTACAGTGAGACCAATGACATGGCCAGTACAGTGAGACCAATGACATGGCCAGTACAGTGAGACAAATGACATGGCCAGTACAGTGAGACCAATGACATGGCCAGTACAGTGAGACCAAAGACATGGCCAGTACAGTAAGACATGGCCAGTACAGTGAGACCAATGACATGGCCAGTACAGTGAGACCAATGACATGGCCAGTACAGTGAGACCAATGACATGGCCAGTACAATGAGACCAATGACATGACCAGTACAGTGAGACCAATGACATGGCCAGTACAGTGAGACCAATGACATGGCCAGTACAATGAGACCAATGACATGGCCAGTACAGTGAGACCAATGACATGGCCAGTACAGTGAGACCAATGACATGGCCAGTACAGTGAGACCAATGACATGGCCAGTACAGTGAGACATGGCCGGTACAGTGAGACATTGGCAGTACAGTGAGACCAATGACATGGCCAGTACAGTGAGACCAATGACATGGCCAGTACAGTGAGACATGGCCAGTACAGTGAGACTAATGACATGGCCAGTACAGTGAGACCAATGACATGGCCAGTACAGTGAGACCAATGATATGGCCAGTACAATGAGACCAATGACATGGCCAGTACAATGAGACCACTAAAAATCTATTATAAAATCTGAATTACATTCCCCGACTTGCGTGTAATTTCTAAAAATAAAGCAAGCGAGGTAAGAATTATGTAAATTAGATGTTTCTTGTTGGTCTAGTGACTCACCGTCCTAAACCTTTGTTTACGTCAGCTGGCAGTGGGTGGGGTTTAGGGAAACAAGGGGGGAGCACGGGGGGGGGGGGGGCACGGTAGGGTGTGGAGCACGGTGGGGTGTGGGGCACGGTGGGGTGTGGGGCACGGTGGGGTGTGGGGCACGGTGGGGTGTGGGGCACGGTGGGGTGTGGGGCACGGTGGGGTGTGGGGCACGGTGGGGTGTGGGGCACGGTGGGGTGTGGGGCACGGTGGGGTGTGGGGCACGGTGGGGTTGGGCTGGTGGGGTGTGGGACACGGTGGGGTGTGGGGCACGGTGGGGTGTGGGGCACGGTGGGGTGTGGGGCACGGTGGGGTGTGGGGCACGGTGGGGTTGGGCTGGTGGGGTGTGGAGCACGGTGGGGTGTGGGACACGGTGGGGTGTGGGGCACGGTGGGGTGTGGGGCACGGTGGGGTGTAGGGCACGGTGGGGTGTGGGGCACGGTGGGGTGTGGGGCACGGTGGGGTTGGGCTGGTGGGGTGTGGGACACGGTGGGGTGTAGGGCACGGTGGGGTGTGGGGCACGGTGGGGTGTGGGGCACGGTGGGGTGTGGGGCACGGTGGGGTGTGGGGCATTGTAAAGCTTAAGTTCAGCATAAAGTGATCAAAAGTTGGTGATTACAGCTATAGTTGAGCCGCGCCCCGTTAGGTTGTTGCCCCTGGCTAGGGTCACTGTGACACACTTAAAACAACAAACATTTTAATGAGTTGAAACGATACAAAGTGATGGGAACATGTGATGGGAACATGTGACTGGAACAAGTGATGGGAACATGTGGTGGGAACATGTGATGGGAACATGTGATGGGGACAAGCGATACAAACGAAGGTTGAAGGACAGGCCGATGTTAGACTACAAGCATGATTTAGTGCTGGCAACACAGTGTAAATTGTAATACATGATGTGTTGGTTATTAGCACACACACTGATGATGTGTTTGTATTGGTCCTTAGCCCACACACTGTTGATGTGTTTGTATTGGTCATTAGCCCATACACTGTATGTTGATGTGTTGGTCCTTAGCCCACACACTGTATGATATGTTGATGTGTTTGTATTGGTCCTTAGACAACAAACTGTATGTTATGTGTACGCTACATCTTGGTTCAAGTTTGTGGTTGTACATGTCCATCACCAATGAAGCTCAATGGTTGTCGTTAAACTAAGCTCAATGGTTGTCGTTAAACTAAGCTCAATGGTTGTCGTTAAACTAAGCTCAATGGTTGTCGTTTAACTAAGCTCAATGGTTGTCGTTAAACTAAGCTCAATGGTTGTCGTTAAACTAAGCTCAATGGTTGACGTTAAACTAAGCTCAATGGTTGTCGTTAAACTAAGTTCAATGGTTGACGCTAAACTAAGCTCAATGGTTGTCGTTAAACTAAGCTCAATGGTTGACGTTAAACTGAGCTCAATGGTTGACGTTAAGCTAAGCTCAAATGCTATCTGGCTGGGCTAGTACAACTGAGTGTAGTAAAACAATGGAGAACAATACAAATCCTGTTAAAGATGTGTTGTGTAGATAGTAAAGTAAGACAGGAATGTGTTGTATTAAAGATCTGTTGAATGCATGGTAAAGTAAGACAGGAATGCGTCTCCCTCCTTATACCAGCACGACACACGTGTCTCTGACGTCATTTGGTCTTCCTGATGTAGACAACAGTGCGCTACACAACAAGCCCTACCCTCCCCCCCCCCCCGCATCAAGTCAAGCAAACAGCAACACTCATGTTGGACCCTCCCTCCCCAGTTTAACATTGTTTCACTTCCCTATACTCACTGTCTACAAACAATTAACTAACCGTTAATTAGGGCAGACCTCATTAGCTTCTCTATTTTAATAACCGACCAACAAACGTAACAATGTCTTAACGTATGACTATCTCAGAACGACCGACTGAATCAGTGACTATTTCTAAAGTGAGAAAATAAAAACAGGAAATCTAATCGAGGTGTTATTTAAAGATATGATTCCCCAAAATGTCCCCTACAAAAACCAAACCGGGATTATCCTGTCAACAAAGTATGACTAAAGACCTTCTATTTATAAGAATTGAATATTTACATCTATCATAGTTTTACAAAAAAATAAAAAAATAATAATAATTGAAAAAGCTACATTAAACAAAAATTAGAGTGATGTATCTGATGATTGCATGTATTACAAAAACTACAGATATTTTACAACTTAATGTCACGTGACAGCTATTTCCATAAGTTTCTGTGACGGCCTTAAGTCACGTAACTAATTGGATGTTACCTAACAGAGCGTGTCCACGTGTGGCCACTACTGTTTCAACTGGTGTCCGCTGAATGGGGTCATCTAATCACACCAGACAATGTACGACAACAGACAGACAGTCGGACATGATGTTCTACTCACACACGTCTTGTCAATGAAAGGAAAGCGCTAAGCCTCTAAGATGGTAGTGTTGTAGGTAAAAATGGCTTCATAATGTGTACGTGCCGTTCACAAAACAACACAGACAGGGGGGGGGGAGATTCTCCATTCACCTGTTCATTCAAGTATATTGAACAAACCAACAGTACAAAAACATATCGCCTGAAAACAATGTATGAACAAGACAAAGATTTCGACCGTAAGTCTACTTCAGCATAACCCACAAGACAGCTGGTGCGAGACCGCGTTGGACTGAACTAGATCCGAGTAATGTTTCAACTCTCTCCCTTGTATTGGATATCAATAGATCAGCCAATTTTTAAAGCCCGTGAGAGATTATGATGATTTTATCAAAACGTAAATCAATGCTTTAAGATTAGCGGCAAAACTCTAGATAAGATGATGTTTCATTGGGAAAAACAACAAAACAATACTACAATAGAAGCAGATTGGGTGTGTCGTGCAATAAAACTTGATAAGATTAGCAAACCAATCAGGTTCGACTGATTAAAGTTGATAGGTTTAGGTTGTGATGAGAGAGATCCCGATCACCCCATTCAACTTAATACATGTCAAGGTCGGGAGAAAGTTTTAATAGTGGCCGGGTGACGGTCATGGACTGGGTTATTTTAAGGTCAGAGACCGGATCAAGGTCAGGGGCCGGATCAAGGTCAGGGGCCGGATCAAGGGCAGTGGCCGGATTTATATCAGATGCTGAACAACTGCCATAGACTGTGTTATTTTAGGTTCAGGGACTGGGTTATTTTAAGGTCAGGGACTGGGTTATTTTAAGGTCAGGGACTGGGTTATTTTAAGGTCAGGGACTGTGTTATTTTAGGTTCTGGGACTGGGTTATTTTAAGGTCAAGGATCGGATCAAGGTCAGGGGCCGGATCAAGTGCAGAGGCCGAGTAACTGCCATGGAATTAAGGTCAGAGGCTGGATTAAAGTTAGAGGCCGGGTTAAGGTCAGAGGCCGGGTTAAGGTCAGAGGCTTGGATAGAAGTCTGTACCATGTCAATGAGTCGAGATTTTATACGGTGGATCTACAGTAAACAATTAAAAAACTGCTTGTGTGTGGGTGTTTGGGGAGGGGGGGGGGGGAGAAAGTATGTAAGCGTGTGCTGCGTGTGTGTGTGTGTTTGTTTGGGGGAGGTGGGGTTTACCTTGGACACGCCCCTGTCGTGCATCTGTAACATTGTCCTCCGGAAGACGACATCTTTAGACCTGAGCGGCGCCTTCTTCTCTTCCGTCAGGTTCATGTCATCCTGGAATGGGAAGTACTCACATTGAAACCGCGTGTCTCACACACACGTGCACATGTACTCACATTGAAACCACGTGTCTCATATACACTTGCACACACACGTACACACATAGACCTTGTTCACACAAGTTCATCGATGATACAGGTACACATGTACTCACATTGAAACCACGCGTCTCATACACACTTGCACACACACGTACACACATAGACCTTGTTCACACAAGTAGATCGATGATACAAGTACTCACATTGAAACCACGTGTCTCATACACACGTGCACACACACGTACACATATAGACCGTGTTCACACAGGACATCGATGATACAATTACTCACGAACAAACAAACAAACATAATCAGGTGGGCTTTAGTGGGATTACAAGCATCTTCAGTGTGAGGGGGTCTAGTTTTGTCCACTTGATAAACATTTCAAATCAAAGTGTTACAATATAAACGAAATTTTAAAAAAAATTACAGATCTATTTAAAAAGCCTAATGTGCCTATAGCTGTCAGGTAAATATTTAGGTAGACACAAGCAGTCATTGCCAACGTTGTTTCTTAAAATAGTTCAGTGTTTATAGTGGTGCTTTCGGCTCAGTCTGTCTGAAATACTTATTTGATCTATGCAGTTTTTAAGACATAATTAAAATGCTATGTGGATTTGATGTGTTTTAGTTTATTGTCGGTTTCACATTTGATTTAAATGTAACATATTTTTATTTCATACATATAAATTGTGTAGGCATTATTCCCCCCCCCCCCCCCGCGTCAATTACAAAAATGTACGTTAGATTACATTTAAAAACCAGTGAGTGTGGGAGAGGGGAAGGGAGGATAGAATACCTGGTCTTTCACAGGCAAGGGGTGCAACTGTCCTCAGAGGTATTAACTGGGGCCAATTATAGCAGGTCCTTTGGTTTAACTGGGGCCAATTATAGCAGGTCCTTTGGTTGTGGTTAATTCTTTAAAGACACGTCACTTTTTTTTTGACACATTAATCTCGTTTTAAATATATTTTTACGTGACGGCAAGGTGTTGTTATAGAAAATAGTTTTATTGTAACTGCTAACACTTTCTGTATACATTGTTTGTTTAATTGACAGTGTGGGGGGGGGGGGGGGCACTGGTGACATGATCCCGTATCCTTCAAGTTCTAGCAGACAGATCACGTGGGCAGACGATTGGATCATGAGGTATGAATATACCTGTATACAGGTGTCTCTCGCTACGCATGAACCCCGGTGGCACGCGAACAACAAACCGTGGGATTAGCAAGATTTAGATACGACACCAGATAGAGAGAGGCGACCCAGTCCAATACAACTTCTAGAGCTACGGGTGTTGGGCGGGAGGGGAGTGGGGGTAAAAAGCAATGTTTCAAATACATGCTCTGTAAAGATATAATTTACGATGTTTTCAATGTTAAGGTTTGAAACAACACAAAAAATGATACAGATTAAGTACTTGACAGAGGAAGGAATAAGCGACCCCCTTCCCCCCCCCCCCCTTATGTGTAGATCTTGCCGACCCATAAGTAAACAGGGTACCAAGGAAGGAATAAATTACCCCCCTCCCCTTCCCCAGATCTCATAAACACATAAATAAACAGGCTACCAAGGAAGGAATAAGCGCAACTTGAATGCGGGTCTTAACGGTATGAAAAGTTGAGCCGATCACAAACATAATGCTGACGTAATTGTTTAACAGGCTAGGGGCAAGTTAACAGGTTAGTGTGCTAGGTCTAACGGAATGGTCTAGTCTAGTACAATATGCCACATATTAAACTTTCTAGTGTCAACAATTTCTAGAAGTAATTAGAGGAATCACCGTCAGGCAGTGACGTAATTGGCTGTGTGGTAATGACGTAATGTTGGCTGTGTGGTAATGACGTCAAGTTTAAGATTTTGTAAACTTGTCAATATCTGGTTGTGCTACTCTTTCTGTTTAATGTTATGAGAGGGGGAAGTAATTATACCGTGATTGTAAAACATTAAAACGGACCAGACAAAACAACACGTCCTTGTGGAAAGTTTTTTTTTTTTTTTTTTTTTTTTTTTTTTTTTTTTTTTTGCAATATGCATTAACAACACCTGCCATGAAGTTTAACGGGTTAACTTTAGAGGTTTGTTGCAGGAAAAATGGTTTGATTGTATAAATGCGGTAGACTGTTCCCTTGGCATCTCTATCCTCCTAATGTGTACACTCAACAGGCGTCTATACTCCACTACCTGTCCTAGGCAGATAATGTCAGCCATTGTTCCACAGTTGTTTATCATCTGATGTTCAGGGTGCCAGACCTTGTGTTGTCCTTTGTTACACACGTGAGGTGGTAAGGCCTCAATACACTGGTACATGACCTCAATAGGATACACTGGTACATGGCCTCAATACACTGGTACATGGCCTCAATACACTGGTACATGGCCTCAATAGGACACACTGGTACATGGCCTCAATAGGACACACTGGTACATGGCCTCAATAGGACACACTGGTACATGGCCTCAATAGGACACACTGGTACATGGCCTCAATACACTGGTACATGGCCTCAATAGGACACACTGGTACATGGCCTCAATAGAACACACTGGTACATGGCCTCAATAGGACACACTGGTACATGGCCTCAATAGGACACACTGGTACATGGCCTCAATAGGACACACTGGTACATGGCCTCAATAGGACACACTGGTACATGGCCTCAATAGGACACACTGGTACATGGCCTCAATAGGACACACTGGTACATGGCCTCAATAGGACACACTGGTACATGGCCTCAATAGGACACACTGGTACATGGCCTCAATAGGACACACTGGTACATGGCCTCAATAGGACACACTGGTACATGGCCTCAATAGGACACACTGGTACATGGCCTCAATAGGACACACTGGTACATGGCCTCAATACACTGGTACATGGCCTCAATACGACACACTGGTACATGGCCTCAATACACTGGTACATGGCCTCAATACGACACACTGGTACATGGCCTCAATACACTGGTACATGGCCTCAATAGGACACACTGGTACATGGCCTCAATAGGACACACTGGTACATGGCCTCAATAGGACACACTGGTACATGGCCTCAATAGGACACACTGGTACATGGCCTCAATAGGACACACTGGTACATGGCCTCAATAGGACACACTGGTACATGGCCTCAATAGGACACACTGGTACATGGCCTCAATAGGACACACTGGTACATGGCCTCAATACACTGGTACATGGCCTCAATACGACACACTGGTACATGGCCTCAATACACTGGTACATGGCCTCAATACGACACACTGGTACATGGCCTCAATACACTGGTACATGGCCTCAATACGACACACTGGTACATGGCCTCAATAGGACACACTGGTACATGGCCTCAATAGGACACACTGGTACATGGCCTCAATAGGACACACTGGTACATGGCCTCAATAGGACACACTGGTACATGGCCTCAATAGGACACACTGGTACATGGCCTCAATAGGACACACTGGTACATGGCCTCAATAGGACACACTGGTACATGGCCTCAATAGGACACACTGGTACATGGCCTCAATACGACACACTGGTACATGGCCTCAATAGGACACACGACACACTGGTATATGGCCTCAATAGGACACACTGGTACATGGTCTAAATAGGACACACGACACACTGGTACATGGCCTCAATACAACACACTGGTACTTGGCCTCAATACGACACACTGGTACATGGCCTCAATAGGACACACGACACACTGGTACATGGTCTCAATAGGACACACTGGTACATGGCCTCAATACAACACACTGGTACATGGCCTCAATAGGACACACTGGTACATGGCCTCAATACAACACACTGGTACATGGCCTCAATACAACACACGACACACTGGTACATGGCCTCAATAGGACACACTGGTACATGGCCTCAATAGGACACACTGGTACATGGCCTCAATAGGACACACTGGTACATGGCCTCAATAGGACACACTGGTACATGGCCTCAATAGGACACACTGGTACATGGCCTCAATAGGACACACTGGTACATGGCCTCAATAGGACACACTGGTACATGGCCTCAATAGGACACACTGGTACATGGCCCCAATAGGACACACTGGTACATTGCCTCAATAGGACACACGACACACTGGTATATGGCCTCAATAGGACACACTGGTACATGGCCTCAATAGGACACACTGGTACATGGCCTCAATAGGACACACGACACACTGGTACATGGCCTCAATAGGACACACTGGTACATGGCCTCAATACCACACACTGGTACATGGCCTCAATACCACACACTGGTACATGGCCTCAATAGGACACACTGGTACATGGCCTCAATAGGACACACTGGTACATGGCCTCAATATGACACACTGGTACATGGCCTCAATACAACACACTGGTACATGGCCTCAATACAACACACTGGTACATGGCCTCAATACGACACACTGGTACATGGCCTCAATATGACACACTGGTACATGGCCTCAATAGGACACACTGGTACATGGCCTCAATACAACACACTGGTACATGGCCTCAATACAACACACTGGTACATGGCCTCAATATGACACACTGGTACATGGCCTCAATAGGACACACTGGTACATGGCCTCAATAGGACACACTGGTACATGGCCTCAATACGACACACTGGTACATGGCCTCAATAGAACACACTGGTACATGGCCTCAATAGGACACACTGGTACATGGCCTTAATAGGACACACTGGTACATGGCCTCAATAGGACACACGACACACTGGTACATGGCCTCAATAGGACACACTGGTACATGGCCTTAATAGGACACACTGGTACATGGTCTCAATAGGACACACTGGTACATGGTCTCAATACAACACACTGGTACATGGTCTCAATACAACACACTGGTACATGGCCTCAATACGACACACTGGTACATGGCCTCAATAGGACACACTGGTACATGGCCTCAATAGGACACACTGGTACATGGCCTCAATAGGACACACTGGTACATGGCCTCAATAGGACACACTGGTACATGGCCTCAATAGGACACACTGGTACATGGCCTCAATAGGACACACTGGTACATGGCCTCAATAGGACACACTGGTACATGGCCTCAATAGGACACACTGGTACATGGCCTCAATAGGACACACTGGTACATGGCCTCAATAGGACACACTGGTACATGGCCTCAATAGGACACACTGGTACATGGCCTCAATAGGACACACTGGTACATGGCCTCAATAGGACACACTGGTACATGGCCTCAATACGACACACTGGTACATGGCCTCAATAGGACACACTGGTACATGGCCTCAATAGGACACACTGGTACATGGCCTCAATAGGACACACTGGTACATGGCCTCAATAGGACACACTGGTACATGGCCTCAATAGGACACACTGGTACATGGCCTCAATAGGACACACTGGTACATGGCCTCAATAGGACACACTGGTACATGGCCTCAATAGGACACACTGGTACAGGGGCCTACCGCCTATGTACACACTGTCTGACTAATTAAAGTAATCAAGAGTCTAGTGGGATATTGATTGCCTACATCATTGATGCAAACCTTGATGACTTGACTGTATGGGATTTATGTGGTGAATTAAGCAATACAGGTGTTGGCAGGGGAGGTGTAGAGGATGTGATGTTGTTGCAATTTGACAATGATGATGTGTAGATTTATAATGTGACAATGCAGAACTAGATGTGATATTGTTCAAATATGACAATGCTGAACTAAATGTGATATTGTTGTAGTGTGACAATGCTGAACTAGATGAGATATTGTTGTAATGTGACAATGCAGATCTAAATGTGATATTGTTCTAATGTGACAATGATGAACTAGATGTGATATTTTCATAATAAGACAATATTATGAGAGGTGTAGATTTATAATGTGATTGAGATGAGGCCTTCTTCAAATCAATGAATCTTAGTGCTGCTGGTACATATTTATCAGAAACATCCACATTCCATACATGTTTGTTAAAAACATCCACATTTCATACAAGTTTGTTAAAAACATTTCATACATTCTCATTGCATTATGATTTAAAAAGGTAAACTCAGGTGTAGACTCTGGTGGGATGCACAGATATCCCCTAGCTGACAGATTATGACAAGGACACCTGGTAAGATTTATATGGCTGACCAATAGGGGTTACAGGTGATTCAGGTGCACCTCTCATTACCCCCAACAGATTAGAGGGAATCTACTTAACACAGGCCATCTGGCCATAATAGTGTGTTTACTTAACACAGGCCATCTGGCCATGTTAATGTGTACCAGAGGGAATCTACTTAACACAGGCCATCTGGCCATGTTAATCACATAATGTGTATGCAGAGGGAATCTACTTAACACAGGCCATCTGGCCATGTTAGTATGTACCAGAGGGAATCTACTTAACACAGGCTATCTGGCCATGTTAATGAGTACCAGAGGGAATCTACTTAACACAGGCCATCTGGCCATAATAGTGTGTTTACTTAACACAGGCCATCTGGCCATAATAGTGTGTTTACTTAACACAGGCCATCTGACCATAATAGTGTGTTTACTTAACACAGGCCATCTGGCCATGTTTAGTGTGTACCCAGAGGGAATCTACTTAACACAGGCCATCTGGCCATTTTGATGTATACCAGAACTCACACACCTAACCAACCTCATGCTAGTGCTAGTTTAAACCATACCTGATCCACAGGCAAACTCTTACTTTCTTTACTTAATTATAGAATGATGGAAATTAATTACTGCTCCTCTTAACAAAACAAATTAAACAAATGATATTAGCAACACAGGTGTGCATAAGTGTTAAGAATATCACTGTGTATGTATGGTTTATAGTATAGATAGATGGGTGCACATTCACTGGCTATAGACAGGTGCATTTTAAATTTGAAGAGTAAATTAATATTTCTTAAAAAGCAAACCTACATGATATGTAAAATTAAATGTTGACCCATGGCTACATGAATTTGACAACCAACTCCGAGATGCAATAGAGACAATGTGTGTATGTGTATATTCAGGGCCATGTTAGTGATGGCTAACAAGAAAAAGGGCTCGCATAAGCACTGTAGTACCACCAAACATTAACTTAGTATTAACAGTACAAATACTGTAGTACCATCAAATATTAACAACAGTAACATTTTGTAATGAAGTTAAGAACCTCATTGAAAATTCAATAAATATATTGTTCAAGAACACATTCTTACCAGCAGTTGTTCGAAGCGCTTATCCACTTCCTTTTCTCCCATGCTCTGAAAGTCCAAGCTTTCAGAGAAGGCGTCCCCTCCATTAAATCCATGTTCTTCAATAGGATAGTTTTTGGAAGAGGCTGATGATGTGCTTTTACTAGGTTTTGTTTTGCTTCCTTTTTTAAATCCAACTTTATCCAACTGAAGCAACAAATCAAAAGAAATAATCAATTTTATCATTTTAAAAATCAGACCTATACATCAATAAAAACCAACCTAATGGAAAAATGTCTGTAAAAAAAAATAATTTATATATGCAATTTTATTCATTATTATTTATGCTAGGCATATTTATTTAACATTGTTTAGGATATGCAATTTTAATTCACAAGTATAATAAAAAACAGATAACTGAGAATAAGTCTAGTCTTATGGTTGGAAATTAGAGTTTGGATTAGCATTGACATTAGCAAGACATTTAGACATAGGCCTATGAGTAGTTAGTTTAAGCTAACTACCAGTAACCTAACACTATTTTTTTTAAAAGATTCAATTTTTATTATGTTATTATTGGACACTGGTGTAACAAATACAAAAACACAAAAAATAAAAATACTTACAAAACTATTGCGATTTTTTTCTTTCTCTTTTTTATCCATTTTTTTGTTGAAAATTAATTATCTTTTGCACATTTTATTATATTAAATCCTGTACGAATCAACACAAACTCAACAACAATGTTTAGACTTTGTTCTGGTCTACTATACTAATAAAAAATAGTTTCCATTAAATAACATTGCGCATCTACCTACACCATGACAGAAAAGTATGTGAGTCAGCTATTCATTGTGACAATACTACAATTAGCTTGTTGATACAATTAAGAAAGATTATTAGTTTTTAAACACCAACTTATGGAAATGGCATAGGCCTAATTAAATTTGAATTAAACACTTAACAACTACTCAGTTCAGACTATTACAACTATTATTACAAAAGAACTCTTCATTGAACCTACAGCCCCCTAAAAATGTCTTATCTGAAATAAGAAATTTAATGACTGCCTTTAGTTTTAGTCAGTAGTGTAACATACCAACACATCTAACATACTTGGCCTACTTAAAAGCCTATTTGACACTATTTGTACAACTAAGCCTACTTAGTAATTACAATTAGTCAATTACATTTAAAGATAGGCAAGAAAGCAAAAATCTTTAGGCCTATAAAAAAAAGTATAATAACTGGTCACAAGAAGTTGTATTGAAATTTAGTAGATCTAGTGTTCCAGAGCACACAACAGTCAATTACACATAGATCTAGATCTAGATCTAGGCTTGACATCATTCGTAACTGATGAACTCAAAATCAAGTCACGGATTAATTTAAAATTATTTATTAGGCCTATTTACTATTTAGTATTTATTAATATTTATTAGGCTAGCGGCTAGACCTAGTATAATCAAGATTTAAGATTAAATTCTAGAAAATCTAAACCTAGAAGACTAGACAGGTCTAATGAAACGAAATTTTTAATCGAATTCCCGCAGGACAGTCACACTGAGATTTTACTACAGTACACTTCAGTACAGAGACTCAGAAGGAGTGAACATTGAACAACACAGTCCACTGCACTGTCTGCACTGCTGTGTTCCTGGCCTGAGTTAAGGATAAGTTACTAGAATCTAGAACCCAAGATCTAATGCTACAAAGCTCATACATTTAAAATAAATTCAAAAGTAAATTATGTACATATTGCGGGTAGTCCGATTCGAAAAGAAAAACAATGAATTACAGTAGTAAACAGTAAACAGTATAAAATTTGTTGGGTGAGGTGCACTTTACTTCCCATTAGGAGTTTAGTCATCAACATCCGGCATTTCACGGCAGCTGTCAGAGGTCAACTATATTTAACCAATGGAAAAAATTGTAACATTTTCGTACATTATTGTATGGGCTCATGTTGCAAATCATCGCCAAAATTATTTTTTCTGATCAAATACATTTAACGGTACTAGATACACATATCGAAGAAGACTGTGGTAACGGTTGTAATATACACGAATAATGTATAATAAAATTCTTTGAACAAGTTTAAACTAGTGGGCATACTCATACAGCTAGTCTGGTAATCATTTCTCCAGTAGGCTACGGTCAGTCATTACAAAGAAAATTCAAAGAAATTAACTAAATGTCTGAAAGGATATAATACTAATATTGAGCCGATACTTTAATTGTATAATTAGGCCTATACAATATTATACATTTCATCTTCTTTAAGGTATGTTTCACTGAGTAGGTCTACATTAAAATGGAGTTTCTTAATCACATTTATTATTTGAAAATTCCCGTTTGCTAGAAAATATTAAAGGATAATGGAATAAGATACCTAAAAGTCTTCGGGGATTAGAGCAGCACAAAAGTTAATTTATCATCAGAAATCCGTTATTGAAGCAATCGACATCCAAAATTAAAATAACTTTTAAATCTATTAGTTTTGAACTAAAACTAGTCCTTAAAATACGTTCCTGGCAACACTGCATCCGTAAACAATATGGCGGCTTCCGAGCTCGCAAGACGAGGATGGTATGTGACACGTTCACTTAATTAGAATTGGACAAATCGTTTGTTGTTGTTTTTTAAATTACACACTGAGTATACATTAATATTGATCCTATAACATTTTCAAGTACAATCTCCAAATCGAGAACCGTATGAGTGAAAGGGCTAACTTTAAATAACCACCACTTTTAAAAAATAAAAGCTCACGAGACTCGTCATCCAGTCCAGTCAAAATCCTGTGGTAGATCACTCTGTTGATGTTGACACCAGGATTCAGCTCTCATTCTCTGCGTGTGCTAGTTGAATGAATGGATTTGATGCACTTGCAATAAGAATGAATGAATGATTTTAGATACCGATTTCGGATAATAGATCTAGAATCTAGTAGATTTTCTTACTAAAATTTAAATTTAGGCTACTCCATTTTCAATTTAAACATGACCACTGAATGATAAACATCCATTTTTAATCCATTAGGCACCAATTTGGAATTTTTTATTTCGTTTTAAACTAAATTAGTAGATCTAATTACTTAAAGTAATTTTGATTGTCACTCACTGCCATGCACATGCACGACACCTCTCCATGACAACACACAACTTACAACTGAAGCCATGGCATTAGCAAATCATGAATCAGTTAGACTTTTTAATTGGCTATGCACCAGAATTCCTCACTACTGATGAGCCAAATAGCAGTCACGTGGTTTTAAAAAAATAAAAATAAATTGGTTGTGATATGAGAGCGGGTCTTATAAAAAAAGTAGGCTCTACAGACAATATTTTATTTCTTTTTACATAGACTGATAGACTTAATAATGCTTTACTTACATGATCATTTTTGTAGCTACATTGTTGATATTATTCAATTTCTATTAATTTTAATGAAACCAACTTTTGAATTCAGCCTACATTCTCCAAACCAAATTTTTAAATGCTTTTCTGGCTTATTTAGCCCTGCCACCTATGGTTTGTTTTTATAGCGCGAAAATACCTCCATTTTGCTCGCTGTAAACATTTTTAAAAGTAATTATAAGGTCTATGGAACTAAGACGAAAAATCATCGGAAGTCATGCATTCGGTCTGTACGCCATATTGTTGTTAGCAACCAGCCACGCCTCCGGGGTAGCAAGCAATACTTAGGGTTAGGGACAGGTGAGGAGGGTTAGCATTGACATTAGCCAGTCATGTAGTAACCTAACACCCCCTTTTTAAAGAAGATTCTATTATCAGTTTTGTTCATTTTAATTTTTCAGAAGGGGGGAGTTGGGTCTGTAAATAAAGGTTTTACAGCTAAATAATTTTTATAGGCCAATTTGAGTTTATAGTCCCTTAGTTAATTAGAGGCTTGCCTTTGAAGTTATAACTTTTATAGTTGTATGATGCTTCTGACCTAGCCCTAGATATATCTATTTGTGCTGCAAAATATAATTTTTTTTTTCCAATGTTGAATGTAGGCCTATACAAATTAAAGAGCCTGTCAATGATAGATGGCACTATGGTCTTAGTAAAGTCTAACTAGACTTAGAGACAAAATCAATGGAATTTCTTGTTTGGAGTTTCACTTTTCTCTTTTTTACATAATTGGAAAACTAATTAGCCTACCTTCATCACAAAGTTTGCTAAAGATGTACAAGGCTACATCTTTTTTTCCAGTGTGTTTGGTGATTATCTGTCACAGTATACTGCACTTGTATCATCTTCTTTTCTACTTCTTCCCACAATTCAATAATTTATTCATGCAATAATTGATTAACCTTTTTTTTGGTTGCAAAATGAGATAATTTATGTATAATGGTCGCTTGTTATTGTGATTAATACTCAGGGACTCCCATTTTTACTTTTTATTGTCTTGTACCTTCTTCTCTATGCTGCTATATCTGTTCATAGTTATTTCCTTTATATTCTCAATATTTAATCCTTTTAGGCACATCAAAGAAGAGAGTTTGTCTGCTCTAAGTGATAATGGGAAAACTAATACAGAGAATATTGTGAAAAAAGCACTTGATGTAAGAATTTTTATAAAATCATTATATTATAATCTTTAAATTTGTTTGAAAATTTTAAATAAATAAGCTAGACAAAAATAGCATGAGAACTTTTTTGAAAAGGTATTTTAATGTTTACTAATTTATTTAAAATCTTTTATTTCAGGCTGATTTACGAGATATAGGTTTAGCTTGTTTGAATGAGGATATAAATAGAAGCAGATTAGACTATGTGAGTTTTATTTTAAATATTAACATTTTCTGCATTTAAAAATCAACCTTATAATCATCACGCAAAAAAAAAAGAAGTCATATTTAGTTTGTGCTATTCCCAAAATAAATTCAAGAAATTTTAATCAATTCAGTCTACACATGTTTTCACATCACTGCATAATTTGTTTTTTTTAGGTTGAGGGCCCTTTAGTATTACAGCTCCAGAAACTTCGTATTGTTTCTGCACCCAGAGACAATGAAGAATCACAGACTGCACCAAAGCTGTGTCGGCTGTCTTTGACGGATGGCCACGTCACTTGTTCTGCTGTTAGTTTAGAAACAATTAAAGGACTTGGGTTAGTCCGTGTCTTACTTTAGTATAGCACAACATCAGGCAGAATATGTTTCACAAACTGTTTGATACAGATTATGTGGCAGCAGTTATTTGAAAGCCTATGTTTTTTTTTTGTTCCAGTCCACTAAAACTTTTTTTTTCTCCAGTGGCCATACCCCACCTGGCAGCAAACTATTATTGACTGGTACTGTTGAAGTAGAGAGTAGCTTTCTCTTGTTAACTAACAAAAATACAAGTCTTCTTGGTGGTCGTGTTGAAAAGTTAGCCGATACATGGGAACTAAAAAAGGTGATGATGTAAATATATTGTTTGTATTTCCTGTTTTCTCTATTATCCTTCTTAATTAACTAACACTTGTTTGTAATCTACTTTAGACACTGGCACAGCAATCATTAATGCGATCCAATGCTAGAAGTGAAGGAGGGCCTCCACCATTTGTGCCATTTGGGAAAAAAATAGCTAATGATCCTTTACCCCTGTCAAAAAAAGGTAGACTCGAAATGTTCTTAAAATTATTTTACCGTGCTAAAAGATTTTTTTTAGATCTGTCAAAAACCTGTTGTAATTTGATACAATTTTGACCAGTTTTTTTTTTTAATTTCAAATTTTAAACTTCAAATCTGTATTTAAATAAACATTTCTAATTCAATGGCTTCAGATAACTTCAAATCTGTATTAAAAAACATTTCTAATCCAATGACTTCAGATAACTTCAAATCTCTGGTCACCAAGAAAGAAAAGAAACAAAGTGAGGAAGACACAGAGTTCCAACAGCAAAGACAGGCAGCACTCAACCAAGCTCTACAGGCCAAGTCAACGAGTGGGGGTGTAAAGACATTTGGGGGAGGAAAGTTTGTAAGTCAACTAGTGGGGGTGTAAAGATGTTTGGGAGGAACATTTGTAAGTTATAAATGCATGGGGGAATTAAGGTTTGGGGGAAAAAGTAAGTAAATTGATGGGGGAGGGAGTGAAGGCAGTGGAGATAAAGTTTTTAAGTTCCTTCAATACCATATTTCTAGGTTGCTGTAGAGTAGGGCCACATGAGGTGTGCATTTATTGTAGTAAATACTTTTCAGCTGGTCAATGACAAAGATGTAGCCAAGATTATGGATATGGGTTTCTCAGCAGACGAGGCCACAGCAGCCTTAAAATCTTCCAGTGGAAATCTATCTGAAGCAATCAATACCTTACTTTCAGGGGGACATAAGTACCAGAGAGGTGGAGACAGGGGCAGGGGAGGTAAGAACTAATCTCTTTACATTATGTCTGCACATTGGGAATGTATTATAATTAATTTTAGAATACTTTGCATATTTGTTAAATGTTTTATTTTCTTGTTACTTGGTATATTGGTGTAGTGTTTTATTGGCTTGTTTAGTGAATGAATATTTTTGTTCAGGTAGAACTGGAGGCAATGAAGGACGAGGTGAGGGCAGGCGGCGTGGCAGGGACAGAGACTATGACGATGATGCTGAAGGGCCCATCTCTACTAAACCTAGTGGGCCGGCCACTTTGTTTGACTTCCTGGAAACCAAGATCCCCACTAAAGAAGGTAAATAAACTACATCACGCTTTATAAAACTATTGGTATGTGCTTATCACAAGCAAAGATTTTTATACTATAAGCTACTCAAGGATTGATAGATTTTTAGGATCTTTTTATTTCTAATTGTTTACTTTTTATTTCATATTTACTGATTTACTTGAAGTATCAATTATAGATTGACATAAAATCATTATAATTTAAAGTTACAAGTTTTTAAACTACTAACTGTAAAATGTTTAATTATAACATAAGCTGTAAAAAATAAATATGAAGTATCTAATCAGTATGTTTTTTTTGTCTTTGTATGTTACTAACAGTAGCACAATTCAAGAAATTTTAGTCATAGATTATGTAGAATTTATAAGTTACATCTTTTAAAAAACAATGTACATGTTTTTATTCAACAGAAACCAAAAAATCATCTTATAAACCTCCTGATACCAAAAATTCATCTGCACCATTATCATCCTCGCTAAGTGAATCTTCGTCCAAATATTCCAAAGATGACACAGACAGTAAACCCTCTCAGAAGAAGGCAGAGAACACAAGTAGCAGGACAGCACCGCAGGGTAAAGATTCTTATCGTGGTGGGAGCCAAGGCAACCACGACTCACACAGAGGTTACAACGACGACAGTCACCGTGGGCAGCAGCAGTCCATACCCCCACGCTTTGCCAAGCTGGGGCGAGGTGATGGGCAGAGAAACAGGAATGATAGTGGTGGCTATAGGGGAGCGGGAAGGTATGATGGTGGCAGTGTTGATAATCAAGGTGGATATCAGAACAGGCAGAAAGAAAACCAAGGCCAGCGAGGACAAAAGTTTCCAGGAGATTCCCAGGATGCCAAGACTTTAAGCCACCCACCAACTAACAAGGGCGCTAACTCACAAAATGAAATTAGGACTTATAATGATCAGCGCAATAGTGAGTACAAGAAACGTAACCCTAATCAAGTGGGAGATTTCAGTCGAAACAATTTCTCTGAGCAGAGGAAGAATGGAGGGAATTATCCCAACAACATCAGCTTTAGTCAGGCTAACATCTCTGAGAGAAACTCAGGACCCAGTGACAGCAGGGAGGCCCAGAGTTATGATAGGGCTTCTTCAGCACGCCCATATAAAGGGAACCAACAGAACAATAAGCCTTACAACCAGCAGGGGCCATTCATCCCCAACTCATACCCACAACACCAGGACTCACAGTTCAACTCCATGCCAGGCAAACAGAGCTATGATGGCCAACAGGTATACCTTTCTAATATATGCCATTGTCAGCTAGTTAGGGATACTAACTTTTTTTTGCTGTTATTACAGGGTACACTGTTAGACTTTCTTGAGGTCAGATGTGCTAGAATAATTTTATTTTGGCCTCCACATGTGGAGTGAAGGTTTTGTGTTGAAAAGGCCATATCCAGCAAGCCTCACACTTAGGTACCCATCACTGGACTCCTTGAAGTCTTAGAGACTCAAGCCCTTGTGTATGTAGGACTCAAGTTCCTGCTCTGATTAAATTCTGTATTCGTGTTTTTGCTGTAGCTTCCTTTTTCTTTGTTTTAAGCAGATGTGGGATGAATTCAATTTAATTTACTTTTTCTAGGTGTGACCCCAATGTAATTGACAATTTTTAAAATTCTAGTTTCGACTTTTTTTTAAATTCTAGTTTTCAGTGAATGGTTGCATGTCCCCTTATGCGACCCCAATGTAATTGACAATTTTTACAATTCTAGTTCCCAGTGAATGGTGGAATGTCCCCTGGTGTGGGAGAAACATGTCTTGCCAAGTATTGGGAGGACAACGAGGTATTTCATCCTTTTATTTAGTGCAGATTTACACATGATAACATAATGCAAGAAAATGTTATAACAAAAATGTTATAAATCTACACAGAAGTCAGGTGATTTTGTTACTTAACATTTTACCATTTCCAATAATACTTGGAACAATTTTGCTAACATTTCAATTCGATCTCTTTCATCCATTTTATATTGCATTAGTTAGCAATGCATCAAAATCAAATCTACATTTCTCTCAACCATATATTGCACTAGTTAGCCATGCATTAAATCTACATTTCTTTCAGCTATTTATTGTATATTGTGTCATGTGCCAAATGCAATTTTCTCGTTGACAACCATTTAACTCCTTATTGAAAGGGACGTCAAACTTAGTTTTGAAAAGACATTATCTAAGCCAATATTATTATTCATTAGAACTTGAAGTAGAGAGAGCACAATATTTACACATTGTTGTTATTTTAAAAATTGTAGCTGTACCCTGCTGTCATTGAAGCTATAGCACCAGATGGTGCCACAGTTGTGGTCAGATTCTTAGACTGGGGCAACCAGGAGGAAGTGTATTACAGTGATGTCCACCCCATGCAGCAGCCCAACTGGGTAAGTCAGGCTTGTACATGTCAGTCACATTTGTACATTCTAATCTTGTTTTCATACATGTCAGTCATGTTTTTTACATGTCAGTCACATTTGTACATTCAAATCTTGTTTTATACATGTCAGTCATGTTTTATACATGTCAGTCACATTTGTACATTCAAATCTTGTTTTATACGTGTCAGTCATGTTTTATACATGTCAGTCACATTTGTACATTCAAATCTTTTTTTCATACATGTCAGTCATGTTTTATACATGTCAGTCATGTTTTATACATGTCAGTCACATTTGTACATTCAAATCTTATTTCACACGTCAGTCATGTTTGTACATACAACTCATTTGTATGTCTAAGTCAGGTTTTACATTTAAATCATGTCTCAAACACATTTTTTACCATGCTGAAATAGTGCATGATGTTGTTGCCTTATAGAATTTCTGTTGCACCACAGGGCTACCAGATGGGCCCACAAGTTTTCAACATGCCAGTGATGGACATGACCCTCCAGGATACCTCGTACCAGGCCAGCCCAGCCTTCGTCCCCCCCATGGAGTTCACCCGAGGTGGGGGGTCCTACAACAGACGCTATGACAACGACAGGCGCTATGACAACGACAGGCGCTATGACAACGACAGGCACTACGAGGACAGACGCAAGCCCACACAGTCGTATTACCAGCCACCAAACCAAAAGTCTCATTAATGTCTCACCTAGGTTCTCCTGTATAATATATAAATATATTAAATAAACTTTATATTTCTATAATATAAAGCTAGATTATTACATTTTCAGCATGCATTTAAAATGTTTTTTCATTGTATAATAAATGCACAGCACAATCACTGTTGTATGCTAAAGTTACAACAGGTTAATATTAGAGGGGACGGGGGGGTGTAAACAGTTGTAGTATCCACTCTCAACGACCACAGGCCAAGATAACCCAGATCTAACTTGACTGACTCAGGATTTTAAAGAAATGCTTTACAATAAGTCTACTAGTGGGTAAATTAATGAATTCAATTATCTATACAGGCAATGGTCAAGTTAAATGAAATGATTGTATTAAAGTGAGGAGTTGTTCTTTTCTAAACAAACCATAGTTTCCAAAGTGCAATATACATTTATTTTTTCATTGTAATATTTCAGATTGTTTTCTTTAGTGATTAGAAATTGTTTAATTTCTTATTTTAAATGTCATTAATGTTCACCCACTTATGACCCAAACAGTCAAGCTTCTTAAGACCGCTACTAGGGTGTAAAATTTGTTTACATTCATCTTTGATTACAAAACATTACAGTTGTTAGCAACTACTCAAAATAAATTTTAGAAAGAAGAGTAGATGCAGTTTAATATTGAAACCTTGAAGTAAAGCTGTTAACATTTCACAACTTATAAAAATTTGTTTTAAAAAATTGCTTCTTACATAATTTTTTAGTACTGTTAAATATTCTTGCTGAGTAAAATTTGTAATAAATAAATACTTACCAAGAAATCTTACTGTAAATCTACAAGAAAGCATTTCTGTGTACACCAGACTGTAAAGAGTTAGAGTCAACTTTTGTTAAATAAATGGCAGGTGGTGAAGTGGTTCTCAACCATCTAAGTATTGTCTCCGATATCTTGCTTGAATATTTCCTCATTGTCAAGTAATGTATGTGTTAACTAATAGCATAGAAGGTGAGTGGTGTATATTTTGTAATCAAAAGTTAGTTGCATGTAGCTTTTTATTAGTTATAATTTATTACAGTAGATATTACAATATTTTAAATGTTTTACTCTCTGAAATGTTCTGTATTTTGTACTTCTGATTTGTCTAATTGTTTTACTCTGAAATGTTCTGTATTTTGTACTTCAGATTTGTCTGTTTTCCTCTGAAATGTTCTGTATTTTGCACTTCTGATTTGTCTAATTGTTTTACTCTGAAATGTTCTGTATTTTGTACTTCTGATTTGTCTAATTGTTTTACTCTGAAATGTTCTGTATTTTGTACTTCTGATTTGTCTAATTGTTTTACTCTGAAATGTTCTGTATTTTGTACTTCTGATTTGTCTAATTGTTTTACTCTGACGTGTTCTGTATTTTGTACTCCTGATTTGTCTAATTGTTTTACTCTGAAATGTTCTGTATTTTGTACTTCTGATTTGTCTAATTGTTTTACTCTGAAATGTTCTGTATTTTGTACTTCTGATTTGTCTAATTGTTTTACTCTGAAATGTTCTGTATTTTGTACTTCTGATTTGTCTAATTGTTTTACTCTGGAATGTTCTGTATTTTGTACTTCTGATTTGTCTAATTGTTTTACTCTGAAATGTTCTGTATTTTGTACTTCTGATTTGTCTAATTGTTTTACTCTGAAATGTTCTGTATTTTGTACTTCTGATTTGTCTTTGCGGCTGAGCACATTCACATGTTAAGTTGTGTTAATTGATGTATAGTAAGTACACTGAGTAAAGTTAATTGAACGTGCTTTATGACATACCACTGTGGAGTTAATTGAACATGCTTGTCTTGTTTAGTGGTCTAGTCTGAGTATTGGCATTAAAGAAACCACTAAATGCTACTAGTCCATAGTTTTCATGTTGTCCTGTCCATAGTTTTCATGTTGTCCTGTCCATAGTTTGGACGGTGTCCTATTACTGTCCATAGTTTGGACGTTGTCCAGTTACTGTCCATAGTTTGGACATTGTCCAGTTACTGTCCGTAGTTTCCATGTTGTCCTGTGTCTTACTGTCCATAGTTTTCATGTTATCTAGTGTGTTAGATGGTTGTGAGCAGGCTATAGTCTCATTCATGTGAAACCATATCATTTTTTAAATTAGCCTTGTATTTTCTACTGTTAGGTTTTACATGCCTAGCCCGTACTTAAATAATTGTGTTCATGCTTTGACATTTTCTCCATGTAAATGTGTTCACATATACTTTGACATTTTCTTCATGTAAATGTGTTCACATATACTTTGACATTTTCTTCATGTAAAAATGTGTTCACATAATAATAATAGTTTGAATAGTTTTTAAGGGTTGTAATAATGAATGATAAACCACCTAAAAAGAAGCTAATTAGTTTTTAAATGTGACTTTGATTATTATCCCTGCTGCCACAAGTGCCTTACAATGCTTGAACTGGATGCCTCAACTTCTGGTTGATTTAGTGTTGCAAGAGTACTCTAGTGATCCTTAGCTTAAAATGACGACTGATGTACAGCCCCCTAGGTAGGTAGGCTCAACATATTTACTGCATTGAACAAGAACTTGTTCTAGGTGAACTATGCATACCAATTCTGTATCTTGACTGAACTTGTACAATGCGATGATTGTATGTTTTCTGTTAGTTCAACTATTTGATTTCTGTTTGTACATAAGGTTTAGTTGTTTTATTTCCTCATCTTTGATATTGAGAGAGGACTTCAATATTGTAATATGGAGTGTATTATTGATAATAAATCAAATACTGCCACATACTGTATGTCTTGTGTTACTGTATATCTTATGTTACTGGGTCTCAAGACATAGCGTGCTGTATGTATGGTTTACATAAAACAATGTGGTGTACGTTTGTATTCACTTTTGGCTTGGACGTGGTAAACTGTCAGCAACAATTCTGGTGATAGTTACCTCCCCTGAACAACGGTAAAATGACATATGTTGACAGTCACAGAGTCGTAGTTAGACAACTCAAGGTAGTGCCACAATTCTGGTTTCAACTGTACACTGTTAGCAAAACACCTGCATTACACAACACCTGAACTAGAAACAGATAAGGTACTTTTTATTCCGTCCTAGCTACCTGAGTAGAACGTCTGTGTCAAGCTATACCTGATCTAACTTTTGTTTTCATTACAGTTGATCAGTGTTGTCCCGTTGTGAAATGTTTTGTTGACATCCCGTGGCAATGTAAGGGTCATCTACATACTTTTACTATAGGCTACACATTTCCTCTTGTGCGCAATTGCGGCTACTCATAGCTTTTCCCTCAAAGAAACATAGACATGTCGAAACAAAAATCTAATTTAAGTTAATCTTAATTTAATCTAACTTAAACCGGAATGTTTATTCAACTAATTCCATTATTACGGTACATGTACAGAACATTTTCAACACTTGAACTTATACCCTAATAATAGGTACACATCTTGTCAAGAATTTAACTTATTCCCTAATTAATTACAATTTACAGGTAGAAATCTTGTCAATGATTGAGCAAATTCCCTAATCGTAGGTTAAAAACGTAAACACTTATACTACTCTTTAATTTTGGCTTACAGGTAAACTACAGGTATAAAACCTTGTCAACAATGAAAATAATTCCTTAATTACAGTTCCAGGTACAAAAGCTTGTCAACAATTAAACTAATTCCTTTATTACATTTACAGGTACAAAACCTTGTCAACAATAAAACTAATTCCTTAATTACAGTTACAGGTACAAAACCTTGTCAACAATGAAACTACTTCTTTAATTACAGGTACAAAAGCTTGTCAACAATGAAACTACTTCCTTTATTACATTTACAGGTACAAAAGCTTGTCAACAATGAAACTACTTCCTTTATTACATTTACAGGTACAAAAGCTTGTCAACAATGAAACTACTTCCTTTATTACATTTACAGGTACAAAAGCTTGTCAACAATGAAACTACTTCCTTTATTACATTTACAGGTACAAAACCTTGTCAACAATGAAACTACTTCCTTAATTACAGGTACAAAACCTTGTCAACAATGAAACTACTTCCTTAATTACAGGTACAAAAGCTTGCCAAGACAACTCAAGTCAACTGGGTGTAGCGCTTCAGAAAGTGGTTGTCACAAAGATTCTAGGTGACTTCCCCTTACTAGGTAGGGCGGGTGACATCCCCTGTTTAAAAAATCACCCACAGAGCGTACATTAAAAACCCACGCAATGATAAATCTCTCGATCTAGTCCTACCGGGGGGAACCGCGTGAAATCAAGACAAACACAGCCACACAGGCGTGCACACACACACACAACACAACCACACCCACACAAGCGATCAGATCCGCGCGCATACAAACAGCGGTGGAATGTAAGGGAGAGGTAGACGCGACAGGCCGGTGAGGGGACGACAACAACTTCATGTGCAACCAGGACACGAGTGGCTGCCTGCAACACGCGGACCCACGAGAGAACCTGATCCAAGTGAGTTGTTTTTGTTGTGGATTTTTTAAATTTGTTTAAATGAGAGCTAGACAAGTTTTGTGGTATTGTATCTAGCCATTGTATGACAATAGACACTCCCTTTAGGTGAGCCGGCTGTGTTATTAATAGAAGCAAACTAATCTCATACTCGACACTGTACTGTAAGCCCTAACTAGGTCTAGGATTAAGGTTAGGTTTAGAGCTGGGCTAGGGTCAGGTAGGGCTAGGGTCAGTGGGGTCATGATTTCGTTGACAAGCACAAGCACCTGTGACACAGTTTGACCTAGTTCCGTCTGACTGCCAATAAGCAGACGTCAACACGCTTTCAAATGGTAACCCAAACCGGCAGGTATCGGCTGATCTTCGTAGACAACAATCTTTGCGACGTCTCAGTTAGTCGAGTTGACGGCTTGACGGGGGGGGGGGGGGGGGGAAGGAGGATTAGATAAATTGTTGCTTTTATCTTATAACATACAGCTGATAAATAGTTCAATGTAGATCTAGAATTGATGTCATGAAAGGACGACAAATCTAAGAAAACTTACGTTTCGTTATTTTGTTCTTGTTTAAAAAGTTGTCAATATTATACTTGGACTTTCCTTTTAAAAAATCTGGCAGATTTTCCGCACTGTTAGGTTTTCTTCTTTCGATCTACAATGCTCTTCAAATAAATCAAACTAATGTTTACACTACTATGCCTGACAGAGGTAAAATAATTATTTGAAACACGTATCGAGGTCGCATTGGTCCCTAGCCATATATATCATTCACAAGGACCAACGAAAAAGTAGCGGTATCTTCTCAATGTAAACATTGGCCTAACATTCAAAATACGCGCTTTAATGAGACCAACCCAACCATAACCAGTGAATTAAACCAGTTACATCCCAGTGTATGTGTGTCAGATTGTGTTAGGAGCTTATTTATGGCCAGGTATAGACAAGCTAGTGGCCCACGTTCTACCAATATGGCCACACCCCACAAAAGTCTAGCTAGTGGCCCACGTGCTGCCTATACGGCCCACACCCCACAAAAGCCAAACTATTGGTCTAACTTTTGTCACCACCTTCCTCTAAGTCACGGGTTCCCAACCTGGGGGTCGCGACCCCCCTGGGGGTCGCGAAGGGCTTTCTGGGGGGTCGCCAACTGGTATACTAAACCTTAGTAATTTGAAACCAAACATAAATATTTAGAAGAATTTTTGAAATTCGGCTTCACTAACATCACCGGAAAGGGAATAGAGAAGAAGCAAAGCGTACTGTACAAAGTTTTTCTCAGTCACGAGTTTATGAAATCTTCAAAACTAAAACGTCATTTGAGACGAGTCATTCGAAACACACCAAAAAAGATATGGAGTTCTTTCGTCGGTATGAAGCTAGTTGCAAACGTCAGAGACTTGATCGAACAGGAAGTTTTCACCAAGGAAACACAGCATTAGTGCAAGCATCACACGAAGTCGCGACAGAAAATGCCAAGCAAAAAAAAAAAAAAAAAACACAATAGGAGTATTAGGAGAAAATCTTATCAAACGCTGCATGTTGAAGATGGTGAAGTTAATTCTTTCATGTCCGTAGATGTTAAATAACACATTTTAATTGAAATTAAGCTTTCACCATTGTTTGCTTTTCAAGTTGATAAATCAACAGACGTGAGTTCGTGTTCGCAGTTGCTGGTCTTTGTCTATATTCATTCAGATGATAGCAAAGAAGAGTTGCTCTTTTGTGAAGATAGCATGGAGAAAATAAATACGTTTTTTTTTTAAATTGGATGATTAAAATGGGTTAAAACGGCTGTGAGGGTTTGTACGGATGGTGCACCATCTATGTTTAGGTCAAAATCGAGCTTTTAGAAAGTAGAAAAGATTTAGCCCCCTAACCACTGCCCTCACCAATGGCCATCAAGACTCCATTGCTAGTATAAGTGGTAAATTATATAAAATCTGGAGCCTTCAAAGAACTGAGCGAAGACCTGAATAAAGATCACGAGGTTCTGCTCTTCTACACTACAGTGCGCTGGCTATCAAACGAATTGTTGTGAATCGTGTTTTTGAATTGAAATCTGAAATCAAATTGTTCTTGGAAATGCAAAGGAAACAAGACCTTTTGGTATACTTAAAACGACATAGAGTGGTTGGAGAAAGTATCATACCTAGCAGATGTGTTCGAACATCAACATAAGCATAACCTGAAGCTTCAGGGAAAATGAACGAATATTATCACTTTCCATGATTATCTCGGGGCATTTTTATCAAAGCTGCAAAATCGGCGAAGAAAATAAATCTTGAAAATATTGTAAATTTGAGAAACTCTGCAGTGTGGTAGATGAATCTAATTGTGAGATAATTAAAATTTTGAAAGAAGAAATTTCTGGGCATCTTGAATCAAGATGAATTCTTTGATTTGTAGAATGATTCCGTGTAAGATAAACTGCACACTCAATTTTGGTGTAGTATTCACCATTCATACCCAAACGTAAAATTGATTGACTTTTCGAGAATAGATTTTCAACACTATTTTTCGATTAAAAACAAAATTAAGATAATGATAATGACATAGGTTGGCGTTAACAAAAAAAAATGCTTTAAAAAAAAATTAACCACGAATATTTAGTGAATAGTATGCAATTTTACTCCTGGTATTAAAACAGTTATCAAGAGTAGTTCATATTGAAAGTCTCTTAGAAAATGTTATTTTAATGCTTATTAATTTCCATACTAATTTCGGCTTTTTAATTCTATGGGGGTCGCGGGTCACTTAATTTTTATAAAAGGGGGTCGCCACTCAAAAAAGGTTGGGAACCACTGCTCTAAGTCACACCCCGTTAAGACACTGGGACGGCCACCGTCTAAGATTCAAGAAGAAAAACTTCTTAAACCAGTCGGAAAAACAGAACAGACAGCCTTTATAAAACCAGATTGTGCACATACAATACAATAAACTTACAAAAATCATCCAGTTTATGTAACGTAATAAAACACTTCCCCACATCATCACCACCCTCACATTATAGCCCCACAACACACCGTCACTGCGATCAAACTTTGGTACTACAAATCTCTTATAACGGGGTGCTCCTTACACTACCAACTACCAACGTTGACTGGTATTGTGGTGGATTGGAGCCAAGGCTAGTCACTCCTTGTGTCACCTATTGTGTCACCCGTTGTGTCACCTATTGTGTCACCCATTATGTCACCGAGTGTATCACTTATTGTGCACCGCGATTAAGTTGAAGGGAAAAAAATTCTCAAGTTGTCGTCCATTCGCCTATGATTACATTTTTTACCCCCCCCCCCCCCTCACACATTTCACAAAAAGCCACACCTCCTATTATGACGTCCTAAAGTTAGTGTCCTTAAATAATAACAATTTTAATGAAATTAACATGTGTGTGCTTTAAAATGTTGGCCTACAAATCGAATACCATGCAAAGTCACACCCCTTTAACCCTCCATCGGCACAAAAGACCCCCCCCCCCCGTTGCCCCAGGATAGTGACGTAAAATATGTGCGACCACTTCCTCTACATCCGGCACGACGTGCCGTTAAGTTAGATTTCTAATTAGAACTTTCGCTATTTAGTGCTACCACTAGCTGATATTGCATTAATGTTGCTTATTATGATCACAATACTGTGTGTGTATATGTGTGTGTGGTGTGTGTGCGCGCGCAAATATGCACAATCTTCATTTGTTAAAAACGTCACATCAATGTTGTTGGGTTTTTTTTTTTTTTTTTTTTTTGCAACATTTAATCAATAAGTTTACAAACAAAATAAAAACTGCCTGGGAAATCCAAATAACTTTTAATCAAAATTAGCACGCACGCACGCTCACGCACACGCACACACACACACACACACACAACAGACGCACGTGAGCACTCTCATTCACATACCCACTCATACACCAGCATACACAGAGGGAGAGAGAGAGAGAGAGAGAGAGAGACATACACACTCACACATCTATGCCCATATCAATCAATTGAAAGCGGACTTTAAGGAGCGAGAAATCAATCAATCAGACGGACTGTATCGATATTGTTCTCACACGTGACCCAGGGGCCTGAGGAATTATGGGAAACTTTTCAATCAATCAGACGGACTGTATCGATATTGTCCTCACACGTGACCCAGAGGGCCTTAGGAATTATGGGAAACGTTTCAATCAATCAGACGGACTGTATCGACATTGTTCTTACACGTGACCCAGAGGGCCTGAGGAATTATGGGAAACGTTCACCTGGGTCAGACTGTCCGTCTGCTGGCGTCATTTGTTTACTTACTGCCATTTGATAAAACTGACACCAAAACTGGGCATTAAGGAGTGCCCCCAAAACTGGGCATTAAGGAGTGCCCCCAAAACTGGGCATTAACGAGTGCCCCCAAAACTGGGCATTAAGGAGTGTCCCAAAACTGGGCATTAAAGAGTGCCCCAGAATCTGGGCATTAAGGAGTGCCCCAAAAGCTGAGAATAAAAGAGTGCACCAGAAGGGCACCATCTGTTACAGCTGCTTGTTACAAATGAACATTTTGTAGTTATCGATAATTCAATTTTCATCTGTTTCTAAACCTTATGCTTCCAATATCGCTATTTAAAATAAAAATACAATTTCTTTAAACTTTGACCTCAGGTGCATTCTTATTTGCCCTTATCTGATTCAGTAGCAGATTTGTCGAGATAGTGTTTTATTCCGTTTGTGTTATAAACGAGTTGGCCAGCTCGCGAGGATCGGCAGTTTGGTGTGCTCAGTGTTATGTGCGGTAACTGTCAGGTGTTTAAAAGTCAGGTGTGTAACTGTCAGATGTGTAATTGTCAGGTGTGTAATTGTCAGGTGTGTAATTGTCAGGTGTGTAACTGTCAGGTGTTTAATTGTCAAGTGTGTAGCTGTATCGGGTGTGTTTTTTAATGTCTTCTGAACCATTTGTCAACGGCTTTAGGAATGGAACTCTTATTTTTAAAGAGAAATATCATTCTCTTTTTGGTTCTACATTTAATCC